CCCAAAAAGTATCTGTCAGTTAAGAATAGCAAAGAAGGCGTTTTAGCGCCAAATTCCGTACAAGCTTAATGACGGAAACAACGAAAGGCAATACTGGACATCCAAATCACTCATACTCCAAAAGTGTTAGCAGATCAAATAACACATTTCTGTGAAAGAGAGGTACTTATACGAACTTGGAGGATTTACTTTGATTAGCGCCTATCCAGGGCCCTATAGATAAATCGAAGAAATCCTTTAAAGCGAGTTCAAATTAAGACCAAATAATATTTGAGAATGCTTCTAAAGGTGAGCATGGTGAAGACCCTCAACTTCAAATTCGGCTAAAATAGCTTCTGCTTGGGATAAACAGGATAAGATTAACATCAGCTTTTGCCAATACAAATTAGTGTTACGTACCATCTTCGACTCCATACGTTCTTTCCAAGTAATCTCTCCAGGCTAGTGGCTCATTTTTGTTAGCATTGAGATTCTTCCAATGCCGATTAGCATCAGCGCGAAGGGCAGTTTTTGAAACGAAGGATATCCATCTCTTTAATTCGGTTTCGGCAATAGCATTGTCGCCGTCCTGATCAATTTTCCTAAATATTTGACTACAGTCTACAGTCAAACCAAAACTAAGGAACTTACGTCAAACGTTCCCGTGATTCTTTATCAGTAAGCTTGTCGAACTCGGCTGCTAACTCTCTCCCAAGGAATGCTTCGTGATCAAATTGAAGGTTGTGAAGTTCTGGATTATTTTCATTATGGTCATGTTCACTCAACTCCTACGCGAAGTTTCATTTAAGTGTTGATCAACATACCCTCCGTTCAGGGTGGGGTTTAGCTTGCACAAAGAGAAGAGGAATTACCAAGGCCAAAACCAAACACCTCATAATGCTCTACTGGCGTCAGTGCAACCAGTCGGGATTTATATTGCGTGAGGAACAAACCCAACCAATGCCTGGATGATGTTTATAAATTTAAACAAATTTATGGGCTTCCAAATTTTGCTTTACTTGAAGGTGATTTCTCAATAATACATTCGGCCTTATATTGCAATACATTCTCACATATAGCAACTTGGGCAACTTTATTTTTTCGATATATGTCAACACAATGGCTCTACTCAGAAATGCAAAATTCATCCTGTGTAGAATACAAAGCCTACAGTTTAATTTCTTACAGTATCAACTTACTTTTTTGTTAGTTTTTTAGCACCTTACTAAAAGCTCTGTAGTGTCCCGAGACCTCTCACCAGGCAGAAGACGTTGGGTGGAGCTGAATACTTATATCCTAAGGTGGCCAAAGGAACTAGGCCTGTGCTTGACCTTAAGATCATTTTCACGCGTACAAGGGCAAGACGACTCTAAAAGTAACCACTAAACATCAGATGGTACTACCGACAAAGCATTACACACTCTTTCTATAGCCCATTTGTCAAACCGCATTAGACGTTTCTGCCCTCGGTTTTACGTCAAAACAAGGGATTAACACCTCAATCGTACTTCCTTTTGCAGCGTTCCAAGTGCAACACTTTGCTTATGTAACTTTATCTATAAAGAATTATACTCTGCCTCTGGTTTCATATTAGTGTTGATTGGAGAGGGTTTATAAGACGGTACTCTGGTGATACACCACGGTAACATGCTCGCATTCTTCGCGCACGAGATATTTTTTCGAATTAACTAATTGTCTATGTAGCGTCCCGAGGCTTCCCATAGGGTGTAAGAAGGCATAAGTGAGGTAGAATACATGCAATCCAAAGATGACAGGGCAAATGGGGCCCGAACATGGCCTGAAGGCCAGCCCACGTGTACAGTGGTCAGGTAATTTCTAAAGTGACCGCCAAACGTCAGGTAGCCACATAAACAAAACATTACAGTCTATTCCCTGTAGAGAAAATTTAAATATATTGGCATATATTACAGAAATCATCTTGCATTTGTCGTGCAGACTGGCCTTCGGGTCAGGTCATAGCCTCTCCCTTATCTTTGTCTGTTTGATCATTTGTACTTAGCCTAGGCTAGTGTCTCCTTCCACTAAGTAGCAATGGAACCTTAGTTGATGACCGGCATGGCTTAAGCCCACTCCATATAAGAAAAGCAAGATAGCCTTTAAAGAGACCCCAATTCATACAGGCAGCCAAACAAGCAACGTGATTTGAATCGGACTATCAAATGTGTATTTTACCGCCATGTAGATTATACGTAAATTGCTTCAGACCACAGCTTGGTGCCTTGGGCTGGACGAGGGCTCTTAGGACGTTGGCAGACCGCCACCTCGTTTCTACTCTCATTGTCTGAATGTAGGCAACCCATTATTACATATGCACTTTACAGCTGAATGGGAAGTTTCGGAACGTTACAGTTAGCTTTCTGCTTTACTTAGCATTTGCTCATTAAATGACATGATTTAACAGATATGCTGCAACACAACCTGATCCCCG